GCGCCGATACTTTTTATATGATGCAATATATATATATATATATATATATGTACGTATGTACGTATGTACGTATGTACGTATGTACGTATGTAAGTACGTACGTACGTAGGCTGGAAAAGTTTCTACAATCTAATACTTCCAGTGACACCAACGTTCTGCTGCTATCATATATATAAAATTAGATGTTTTTAACCTATAATTCAGTTGACAGTTTGTACCCAAGCCAACTAGTTTTGTTTGCATAGTATTTTAAAAGAAATTATTTTGTGAGAAAATGGAAATTTCGAGTGAAAATTTTCGGACAATTATTTTTTACGATTACAAATGTAATCTAACTCCGAAACAATGCATCGATCGACTTCATTTGACTTTTGGGGATGAAGCACCATCCAATAGGATTGTTTATAATTGGTTTGCCGAATTCCAGCGTGGACGTACCTTTCTTTGTGACGAATTCCGTAAAGGTCGTCCATCCACGTTTGTTATTGTCACTAATGTTGATGCTGTGCGTGAAATGATTGAGCGAGACTGGTATATGACATACCGCGAGATTCAGGTATCCTTGAGCATTGACATGAAAGCAATACATATGATTTTGCATGATCACGGAAACTTTGCAGTCGTTGGATCCCACACAATTTGACCGAAGCTCAAAAACAGTTCGTGTTAAATGGAGCAAAGAAATGCTCAAGAAATTCAACCGAGGTCGGTCAAATTTGGTCTACAACATCATTACTGGGGACGAAACATGGATCTATTCGTATGAGCCCGAAAGTAAACAACAATCCACTGTTTTGGTATTTCAAAATGAACCGAAACCAATAAAAGTTGTTCGTTCACACAATGCTGCCAAGCAAATGATTGCTTGTTTCTTCATTTATACAAGACCGTGGCTTTAGAAGATCGAAGGATTATAAATACTGATTAGTATACAACAATTTGTTTGCCAGAAATTTTTTTTAATAAATGAATTGCGTAGAACAAACTGAAATCGTCCCATCATTCTTCATCATGACGATACCAGCTGTCAAACAGCATGTCAAACCATTGATTTTTTAGTGAAATGTCGAATTGATGACTCATTGTCCGTAGTCACCTGATTTATCACCTAATGACTTCTTTTTGTTCCCAAACATTAAAAAGAAGATGCGTGGTGAGCGATTTGAGTCGCCTGAAGCAACTGTTGAAACATTTCGTATACTGATTTCTCAGGTTACAGCCTCAGAATGGAAAAAATGCTTCGAAAATTGGTTCGAGCGTATGCAAAAATGTATCGATCTTAAAGGCGAATCCTTCAAAAAACAATAAAGCCATTTATCGAATTTTACATATTTTTTTTCATATTGCAGAAACTTTTCCAGCAGCCTGCGTATGTATGTATATATACCTGTGTGTATGTATGTATATGTGCGTGCGTGCGTGCGTGCGTGCGTGCGTGCGTGCGTGCGTGCGTGCGTGCGTGCGTGCGTGCGTGCGTGCGTGCGTGCGTGCGTGCGTGCGTGCGTGCGTGCGTGCGTGCGTGCGTGCGTGCGTGCGTGCGTGCGTGCGTGCGTGCGTGCGTGCGTGCGTGCGTGCGTGCGTGCGTATACGTTTATACAGTGCGTGTCAAAAATCCCGGAATGGCTAATTATCTCAGAGAGTATTGGTTTATTGGAAAAATGTTTCAAACTAAAGTTGTAGGGTTTAGAAAGATCTATTTGATAATCTCATCAGTTTTGCTTCGGGTGGTGTTTCCAATGTCATGTCAAGATCACATTGATTTTTTTTAATTGAACACTCTACTTTTGATTCCAGAATCTAATAGCTGGTGATCGAGAGTTTTTTAAAACGCTGTAATAAAATATTTTTTCATTAAATACTTTTTGAATTATGATGCTTGAAAAATACAGTATCGCCGGCATTAGCATTACCATATGGAGATTACCTGATCAGATTTACACCTCTTACGCACGCACGCACGCACACAAAATAATTAAACATATAGAAAACTATACAAATTTTACTTAAAATATCTTATCATATATCTTATTTCGACGATAATTGCTTACGCACATAAGCACGGATAGAGTATGTGCATCACCAAAACCCAGACAAATTTCAATTAAAATTTTTCGCTATATTGGCCTCCGTCAGAGGTTGTTGTTGGCGTCCGAGAAAGCCTGATGCTTCTAGTAAACAGTTTATATTTTTAAAATGGCCGCGATGTTGAAACCAAGTGCGGAGTATAATCAAAGATCATCGAAGGCCTTCGCGCTGGATGCTTAGTAACGGAAATAATTCGGTTCTTTGGATACCCGAGATCAACCGTTTATGACGTTATGGCAAAATATATGGTTTTAGAATAGTCCAATAAAAGTTCCAGTATGCCAGCGAGGAAGAGAACGCGATAGAACGCACCGCGAAAACTCCTGCAGTCGTTGAAAGAGCTCAAGCGCTGATTTCGGATGACCTAGGGCAATCGTTGCGCGTTCTGATAGATGTGAAGCCATGGATGGAAACTGTGGCGTCCGGAAGGCCATATGTTTTTCAACAGGACGGTGCACTAGCTCATACGAGTAATTTTATTCAAAATTGGCTCTCAGACGATATGTTTCGGTCCAAGGAATTCTGGCCTCCTAACAGATTTAAATCCCTTGGAGCTATTACGTATGAAACATAGTTGAGAGGGTCACAAACAAGTCTCGGCATCCCAATATGATGTCATTAAGGACCGCTATTGAGGCAACATTCGTCGGCATGGATAGCGCTACATTACAGCGTGCGTGTGAACGCTTCAGACCGAGAATAGAGACCGTCATTCAAGCTAATGGGGGATATATCGAATAATTTTGTTCTACAGGGATCTCCCAAGCGCCATGTAAAAGGATTTTTTTGTAATATTTCATTTTTTAAAAACATTTTATTTAAAGAAATTGTTCGATTTGTCTGGATTTTGGTGACGCGTCCTGTATATAAGCGTTTATAATTAATTCTAAAAAATAATATGTTGTAATATTAACTTCTTATTATATATGATTGAATTTGGAAAAAAAAATCTTTAATTTGGTAAAAAAATTTGAAAAATTAGAGAAAAACTGCGTAGTGGGGATATACTTTAAACCAATGCTCGTAAAGATTTGCACATTTCGGCATTTGCTGATTCCGACACGCTACCCCCACTACCGCTCGGCAATCGAGTCGCCGGGCGCTCACGTGACGCTCTAATTCAGCTATCATTTTAATTAAATATAATATATAAATAGTTATTACAATATAGAATCTTTGTTACTTGATGAGACTTTGTAAGACTTTGTATGGAAAACACGGAATTTCACGTATTTTCTGACTTCAATCTTTGCAAGTCTTTTATAGAAATTTCTCAATGTAAATTTATAATAATTATTGAATGGTTTTTGATAGGCAAGAATTATTATGACAAAATGTATTTATTATTCTAGAAACTTCTCGATGTAAATTTATAACAATTATTGAAGGTTTCTAGTAGGCAAGAATTATTACGATAAAAAATGTTTTAGAAAATTTAGTATGATTTGATTTTTTTAAGGAAATAAAAATTATTTTGCAAGAAAATATTCTTTAATAACATAAGATACGACTTCCGCACGTTTAAGCTACAGAGACTTGAACTAAAGCGTCATGTGAGCCATCGAGCCTCGAGCGGTAATGGAGGTAGCGCGCCGAAATCGGCCCGAAATGTGCAAATCTTTGCGAACACTGCTTTAAACAAAAAAAAAAAATTATAAAAAAATTTGTTTTCTTCAGAATTTTGAAATACTCTTGAAACCGTACACTTGAAACAATTTTTGTTTAAAAAATTTTTTTATCTTTTATACTTTCGACGATATTCGGCTCGGAAGAGAAATACCGTTCTTTTTTAAAGAGGCGTTTCACTTCTTAAACAGGAGTTAGCGCCTATATAAAAAATACTTGTCTCTTAGATTTTTGTGTTTAATAACATATTTTATGGAGAATCAAACTGGTGCTGGACTTATGAAACGTCCCTTGCAATATAAGTTAAAATCCGAAAATTGTAAAAAAATCGATTTCTTTGTCATGTCTCCATATAAAAATCTAAAATTGATACGTAAGCGTCTTTTTTTATATGTTATCTTAGAAAAAAGTCAACTCAAAAAGTGGAGGCATTGTCATTGTACTTATTTCATTAGGCCCTTTTATAACTAAGCAGAAAGTCTATATTATTCAAGAAAAAATCTAGTCGACACAAATGAAAAGTAACATAACATCAACGTTATAACTTTGTTGACCTTGTCAACAATATGAATATAATATAACACATGGTGTTGTGTAAAATCTTTTTTATTAAGACTTTTTTGCATAAACATAAATGTAAATGATTGTAGCTACATCAACCCAGATAGCAAAATGTAGCAGAATGTCGACAGACTGGTAGCAGATTTGATCAGAAGATGTTAGCAGATCACTGATCACAATTGATGTCATATTCTGCTTCTGTTTTGCCGACAGAACCTGTTAACATTCTATGCAAATAGACTGGCAGCAGAAATTAAACAGAACTTGCAGACAGAATCTAATAGCAGATTGCAAGTAGAAAACGAACAGAGTCTGCTGACATAATTTGATAGCAGATTGGCAGAAACTGAGCAAGATCTGTCATTTTCATTTAAATCGACCTAGCTAAGAAATTTTTTGTACATATATATAAACGATAATATATAATTATACCTAATTATATATTTATATATACTGGTGAAAACTGGAAACAATCAATACAATTTTATTGCTAAAATATTGATTACTTCACATTTCAAAATATACATGAAAAAGTTATAAAATAGTAAAAAAAATATTGGAGATTTAGAAAACACATTCCGAAAGAGCTTGGGAATGTCTAGGAGATTTGCCTATTCGATTTACATACGCCAATTTTTATAGGACTCTCCTGGATGTTTTCTTCTCATAAGCAAATCCTCGTGGCGAGGCTGTATATGAAAATCATATCTTGCAGATTTTGCTCGATCTCTACTGTCAATCTGCCATCAAGTTATATCAGTAGGATCTGCTTGCAATGTGTTGTCAGATGTGCAGCAGACTCTGTTCGGTTTCATCAATTTGCTGACATAGCATGTTAGCATGTTTTGTTATATTTTTGACAATAGTTTGTTGGTATTATCTGATAGTACAAATTCTGTGTACAGTTTATTGCCTTTCTGCAATCAAAAATTGATAGGTCTGCTCAAAATCTGTCTCCACAGGTTTGGCTATCAGGGAATTAACTCATATTCTTATATTCGACTGTAATTGATCAATTCTTACAACTACATTTATGTAATTGCAGAATGGGTTTAAGAGTTGAAGAGATTATGGCTGCGTTCAGCAGAGAAAACTAATTAGTTAGCGCTTAGTTATTCTTTAATATGATTATTTTAATATGAAGATTTTAGATAGCGAATCTTTTTATAATAAAAGATTAATATCTGAATTTAATATCTGAAATGATTTACATAAAAACACAGACAGCATTTAAATAAACAGAACGATACAAAATCATTGCTTGAATCTCACCTACAAATTATACAATCTCTTTCTCCTTTATAATTAGCTTCTCTCTATACATTTCTCCCTTCCTTTTTTCCTCTACCTTTTTGCCTCCTCCCCCTCCCCCCCATGGTCTCACTTCCCAATATTTTCCAACATTAACTTTACCTTCCTTCTCTGAATGTCAATTTTAATTTATATCGTCTCAAAACTCCGAAGGGAAGAGATATCGTTTTTCACTTTAATTGCATTGTCTCCGTTTTATTATTGACTTTCTGCGCCTCAAACATATTTTAATTATTCTTGAGTGAGATTTTAATAATACTTGATTAACGCTTCATTAAGGATATCTATTCTTACGTATTTTAATTTTTACTAAATTATTTTAATTCAATATAATATATTGATATACATTATACAATTTTAACTTTTAATGTTCATAATGTATCATTTCATTGTATTGTATTCTTTCTGTCGTTCACATAGTAGTATATTTCCCCGTTAACAGAAATAATAATCATGTTTTGACAATCTCCAAGTTAAGTAAGCCAGCAAGATTATTATTCAGTTTAATTATTGATACCAGCGTTCAAATAGTTAGAGAGAGCGAAGTATTTTTTAATATTTTTATATATATTATTTCTTTGTCCATCGAACCACATATAATTTATTTATTATATTTGCTTTACCGTACTGACTATTTCATATGTAAATATTGATAATGATCCGATCGCGATTGAAACGTTTGTTTATAACCGGCACATTTTATTAAAGTTTGTAATAATTTTAACTAAAAGATATCATTGTTTATTTTTCAACTGTTTCTACTTTTAAATTAACGATTGATTTTTGGCTCGTAACCCTTTTTCTTTATTGCGTTTTTTTATTTTAATATGGTTCTCGCCTTTAACTGTTCGCTGGATCTAAGTAGGAAATATTAAAAAATCGTTAATCAGCCATTGGCTGCGTTCAATAAAATGTTTATTTTACAACTGTTGGAAGTTTTCTTTGCGTTGATTGAATTATACTTTTAGAAAAATGATTTTTTTTCTATGTCAGCATGCAATCATAAAACGGTTATAAAACTTGTGATGAACACATTCTGTTGAACGCATCCTAGAAAAACTCTAGTTGGAGACGAACTTCTTTATGCAGCAAAAATAGCATTATAATTGTTATATTCGTAATCGGGAAAGTTATCTGAAGGTTATCTCATACAGAGCGATCTTTTTTTAAAAAGGCAAAATAGAAATATTCTAATACCTGATGTGTATTATAGTGTAGTTGAAGTATACATCATTTTATTTACTATAAATTTTTTAAGAATTAATTTGTAAAATCCGGCTTTGCATGCACCTTCACAGCAAAATAAAAAACGCCAAAAAGGTCTGACGCATTATTACTTATAGGGAATAAAATATTAATATGAAAACATGTTTTTGCACTGTGAATAAAAAGAACATCATTTTTTATAGGGTGCGATCCGTTTTACGCTCACAGTGCTTGTAAGCATTATTTATTTTTGTTCAATATTGGCTGCATTCGGCAGAATATTTATTTTGCAACTGTTGGAAGTTTTTTTCGCGCTGACTGGATTATATATATGTACAGATCTAAAAGTATAATCCAATCAGCGCGAAGAAAACTTCAACAATTGTAAAATGAACATTCTGCTGAACGTAGCTATTGATAGACAACCAGGATAATATTGTTATCCGTGCCTCCGGGTTGCATCGAGCTACCAGTTAAAGACATGAAGAGCACGTCGCCGGGCAACGAACAGCTGAGCGAAGACGCAAGTTAGACAGATTCTGTGGTGAGATGTCGATTTGATCGCTCTACTAAATGTACTGCGTTCTAAAAAAAAGCGTCTGTTCTCTTTTTTTACGTATCTATTTATTTCTGCAAATCGGGAGTGTGCGCTTGTGCGGGCTCGCGGTCTGTTAAGAAACGCCGCGCGAGTGCAACCATATAATGTTTACAGCACATATAAGCGTGAAAATGGAACGCACTCATAATGTTTTGAAGAGCGAAATTCGCGCTTCTGATTTTTCAAATCCATTTGAATTAAAAAATAATATAATATGGACATGAATACATCCAAATTCAACATGATGAATAGTATTTCTATCCTTTTGAGTTCAACAATACTTATTTATAATATTATTGTCATACTTATTTATAATATTATTGTCATAAATGAGTTAATCATGAAGACATAAGCAGAGAACTTGTTTTTAATTTTGTGTTTATAAAGCAGAAAATTTGTGTAATTAAAGAGAGAATATTTATTTTTAAGAATTAATTGATGTTGGGTACGTCTGATTACGGTGCTCATTTCGCAATATTTCGTGGCTATGCTTAATTTGAATAATTGTCTTTAATGATTAATATCTCGATTCTCAGGGCAGAGCAACATTTTTTTCTACCAGATTCTTTCATTTCATGCAAAAACGCGTCGAATGAGCCTAATTTCATCAAAATTGAAATAGAGGAGGGCGTTCTAAATAATTGCCACGAATTTATGCCCTCAAGTTTTAATTTATTTCAGTTCATTTCAATCTCGTTCCGAGACTCTAAAACACGAACTCAGATAAATTAAAATGAATTGCAATTTTCAATTCATTTGAATTCATGTTCGAATGCTGGGTTGGTTTATTACTCCTGATCTTTAATAATTACATTAATGTTATATTACTTTTATATTAATTGTGAATCTTTTAAAATTATTTTTAATGCATAATATTATTAGATAGCACGTATAATGTGTTAATTGGGTCTTACTTTTTATCAAAATGGTGGTTATCATGTAATTAGAGTTTCTAAAGAATGAATTATCACTATTTTTTAGATTTTCAATTGCTCTTTCTCCACAAAATGTGAATATATTGGATATAGGAATAAGTTTCCGCCCTTTTTAAATGAAAAAGATGTGTTTACTTAAACAAATCTATATAAGTGAGTTTATTCAAAGTATGCTCCTTCGAAAGCGACAACTTTCTCCCACCTTTCCGGTAATAAATGGATTCCTCGAATGAAAAAATCTGGTTCTTTTGAAGCGAATTCCATTCATCAAGCCATTTTTTGATACCTTCATAAGAATTGAATCGTTCTCCAGAAAGGGCCGACTGCATGGATCGGAACAAATGAAAATCTGAAGGGGCAATGTCCGGTGAATATGGCGGGTTGGGCAGAATTTCCCACTTTACTCCTTCTAAGTATTTCTTGACCGGTTTTGCAACGTGTGGCCTAGCGTTGTCATGTAACAGAATCAGCTTGTTGTGCCTATTGTCCCATTCCGGTCGTTTTTCTTTCAAAGCTTGGTTTAAACGTATCAGCCGATAACGATCGCCAGTGATGGTTTGAGCAGCTCAATAATATATAATATCTCTTTGATCCCACCAGATGCATAACATAATCTTCGAAGCATGGATATTTCGTTTTGGCGTGATGGACCTGGTTCACCTGGCATCACCCATGCCTTCAAGCGTTTAGGGTTATCATAGTAGATCCATTTTTCATTGCCAGTTACGATACGATGTAGAAAACCCTTTCTTTGTTGTCATGACGAAGCATCTCGCAGATGACCAAACGTCTTTCCATGTCTCTCTCTTTCAATTTATATAAAAATAAATTTCCCAATTTCCTTCTTTTTGCACTATTCCCATTGCGTGTAGACGTTTTCCAACAGTGGATCTATCAACTCAAAATTTAACTCTTTTGCCAACTTATCGAGCGATAAACACGAATCTTCTTCGAGTAATGCTTGCAATTCTGCATCTTTAAATTTTTTGGTGCACTTTCGCGTTCTTTGTCACGCACGTCAAAATCACCATTGTTGAATCGCCGAAATCATTCTTTACAACTAGTTTTCGATGGAGCATGCTCATCGTAAATATCTACGAGCAAACGATGCGTTTCCGCAGCACTTTTCTTTAAAAATAATGGAGTAAAACTTCCCGCAAATGTTGCTTTTTTGGAATAAATTCCGACATCTTCAACGCAAAAAAAGTTACTCTTTCTTACGCTTCGAACGAATGTCATCTATTGGGCTCAAAAGTTTGGACACACACCTTTCAAAAACATGTCTTGCCGTTCTATCAAACACACGAGCAATGCTACTAACGACATCTTTCTGCAATGGGCGGAAACTTATTCCCATACCCAATAATTGTATGATTGAATTTTAAGAATGTTAAATTCCAGAAATATATTTAAACATTAATATCGGCACAGCAACTACATTGTTTAATTTTTACTTTATTTTTATACGTAATGCTGGTATTCTCACTTTTGATCGACTTTGTTGACTTAAATAATGAGTAATAAATTTGAGACCGGGCTAAGAGTAATTAGTTTTGGGAATCAAAATCTCTACACCAATTAATTTGTTTAATATATTAATTTTATTCTTGTAACTTTGTATGTTTTCAATCATTTTCAAACTTATTTTGTGAATATATAATAATTTCAACGTAAGAGATATTTTGTGAGCATTTGATTCAAAAATCAGGATTAAGGAGATTTTAAACAAAAGATCGAACTTTGGTATCGCTGTTTTACCGAAAATGCGATTACGATTTAAGAATGTCAACACATCTTTATATACTTCACTAGTATCGCATTTTTGTATTGAATTAAGGGTGCACACTTCGTTTTCACACTTACACGCTGTATTAATTCATCTCGTTATGAATCAAATATTAAAAATAAATGATGCTTACAAGCATTGTAAGTACAAAATGGAACGCATCTTAAGTCTAAGTTTAATTCCAAAAACGTGACAAAAATAAGTTGTTTGTACATGTAAACTACAAATAAATTATAGGCTGGAGATTATAATTTCTTTAAGTATAGATTGCAAAGCAACTTTTGTATTAATTAAATGTTGTAACGACTTGACTTGACAATTTTAGACACCGTGTTAGACTAAGAAATTGTAAAAAAGATTTAATTTAAACAATTTTTTTTCGTTTTTGATAAACTTCACCTCATAAACATGTATGAATGTGTATATTTTAAAAATTAAATGCCTATAACGGTTGAATGTATTATAATGACAAATTACAAACTAAAAAAAAAACTAACAAGTTTTTTATAGACTCCTTTAATTGAACAATTTAGGAATACATGATAATAACATAAAGTACAGGCGATCGGAGTCAACGCTGGTTGATCAATTAGCGCAATCAAGGTCAAAGTTTATAATACGAGGTCTGTTCAAAAAGTATCGCGAATTTTGAATTTCCGCGGGTTACGTATATTCGATTTTCGATTTTTTTGTGGCGTTATGTTAGTACTCATGTCTCTCACTTATGCCGATAAGTTCGGCCATTTTGAATGTTCAGTTAATTTTTGACAGCTGTTTTGCTTGCACGTGTTTTGGCTCGTCTTCGATTTTTGCCTATTCCAAAAAATGGATCAAAGAATCTGTATCAAATTTTGTTTGAAAAACAAAATTAAGTGCGCGGATGCATTCCGAATGTTGACTGTGGCATATGGTGAAGCTACCTTGGACCGAAGCAACGTTTATCGGTGGTACAAAAAATGTTCTCAGAGGGCCGAGAAGATGTGAACGACGAAGAGCGTTCGGTCGAATGTGAAGGTTTTGTTTACAGTTTTCTTCGATTGCAAGGACGTGGTGCATCGTGAGTTCTTGCCACAGGGTAGAACGGTCAAGGAATATTACCTGCAAGTTATGCGCAATTTGCGCGAAGCAATCCGCCAGAAACGCCCGGATTTGTGGAAGAACAAAAATTGGCTTTTGCACCATGATAACGCCCCTGCTCACACATCGTTGCTTGTGCGCGAATTTTTGGCCAAAAACAACACACTAATGATGCCGCAGCCACCGTATTCTCCAGATCTGGCCTTAAATTATCAAACAATTTTAAGATTATATTAGGTGTTGGAATTAATTCGTAGCGTTTTACAAGTGATGGGAAGTACTTTCATTAATGTATTTTTTAATGCTCATGTGAAATAAATAACATTCTTTCATTAAAAACGCTACGAATTAATTCCAACACCTAATAATTAATTATTCAGCAAATATAAGGACGCTCACCATGTTCACATAGCACCATATCGCAAACATTACTATAAAAACAATTCAAGAACCGGTTTCCGATAATGTTGGCCAGTCAGTATCAGACATAGTGAGTCATTTTTTGTTTTTTAGCTAATTTTCCGAGATAACAAATGGAAAAATGTAACATTAAAGCGTTAATCAATTCCAAGAACAAGTTGGAAAGTAATCGATAAACACGCCAGAAACTCATTGCGTACGAATGACACTGACTGACTAGACGTGACAACAACTCAAGCATTTATAGCTTGTCTATGATCGAAAGATAGACCTGAAGAAGATTGGGAAGCTGAGGTCAAGAATCACGGAGCATAAGAATCACATCTGATGGAATACGTCTACCCGTAATGTCATAACGGAACATCAGTTACAAGAAAGCCATGATTTCGATTGGGACAATGTTATAATACTGGATGAGGAGCCTCACTACAGGAAGAGATTGATTTCGGAGATGATATTCATCAGGAGACAGACGCATGGACTCAACCTGCAGATGGATATGGAGGAGCTTTTCAAGGCCTACTTCCCGATCGATGATACTGACTGGCCAACATTATCGAGAACCGGTTCTTGAATTGTTTTTATAGTAATGTTTGCGATATGGTGTGAGCATAGTGAGCGTCCTTATATTTGATAATTAATTATAATTTTAAAGTTGCTTTATAAATTAGTTCTCCATATTCTATTTTACGATATTTTCTTTTCTTTTTTTCTTTTTTTTTTCTTTCACTCTTTTTGGTTTTAATTCCGACATTTAAATTCTCGGTGTAGGGGAGCTCACCATGACAGGATAACTATTATTCACAATTTTATATATGTTTATGTTTTTATATTAGTTTTTGTTGTCTCTGAGGAAGGCTCAAAAGTGACCCGGAACATGTAAACGCGTTTTAGTGAATAAAGAAGTTTCACACTTCGCAGGTATATTGTTTGCGCGACGTCCTCTGCGCTTGATTTCTACTGCTAGTATTCTTTCTAGTTCTTTGATTTATAAGGAATCTTGGTTAGTTTGATTTGTTATACGAGTTTATATATTTAATATATTTAATAAGAAGAATTGCGCTAATTGATAACCAGCGTTGATAACCTATCGTTTGTACTTATGTTATCATATATTTCTAAATTGAATCTTTAGTGCTTAAATAATACAATGCACATCGTGTTTCTGCGTGTAAATTTAAAAAACGCAGATTATCTCCGCGTTATTCGATACAAAATTTTAAAGTGCTGTAACTTTGCGAAAAAAAATCGCAGCGACTTGTTTTTTTTAAATTAAAGGGGAAAGTTCGAACTTTATGTCGCTGCAAACAGCATTCCTCTAAAAAATTTTACAAAGTCCGTGCATTCATAATATAACAAACCTCATATTTTTGACAGTGGCAGGGGTACATCAAACTTAAAATCTGGCCATAGCGTCTTACAGATTTCAAGCTTTAATAAAAGAAAACACGTTATTCTATCGGTATTCTACGGAATTTTTCATAAAGTTATCATTAGTCAGAGTTGACCAATTTTTGCCCACAATTTTTCTATGCCATTTTTTTAAGCAGTGCATATATAGAAGAAAGTAGCCGATACTGACATAGGTCTCCTAAAGCGAACCCCCTTATTTCTCAGAAATTATAACTATTGTACTTTATTAATACTAATAAAAATATGATCTGTTTAGTTAATTAAAAAAGTGTAAACCCATAATCCGTATATTTATAACTTGTTTCTATATGAAATATATTCAGCTAAAAACGAATTTTGTGTACTTATGCAAAAATAAAATTCTTACGTTTTCTTTTGCAAATTGCGTAATTTAAAAATCATAAATAAGTAACTATATTATTAATAATATTACGTCGTTTTCAATGCTTGTAGTTTCCTAAATCAGTTTTATTTATATTATTTTCTTTCCTAGTTTTTTTATAATACGGTTTTAAGATAAAATATATAAAATCGGGGTGCAGCGTAAACCGGCGGCACACCTGTCTGTAAAACAAATCATGAGCTAACTTAATCTTTGAGATGTTGCTTTGTATCAAATATCTATCGGAGCTGAAGGCAATGGTACATAATACCAATGGTACATTTTAAGGAAAGCTTAAAAAACTTATTACGTTACATATTTGCATCTTGCAGAACAGCATAAAGTAAAGCATATAATTCAACAAAAATGTTTTATATCGAAGTGAATAAATTTTGGAAAATCTTATATGCATTCATTTGTCTTTTATACAAATAATTTCTGTAAAAGAAAAAGAATAGGAATATGTGGCATTACTGCCCACTGTGTCAGTTTTGGAACCCATTTTGTCAGACGTTCATTTTTGCTTATCTTACGAAAAAATTAATTATTGCAAAATTAACAAACAATATTATAAAAACTGCTTATATTATCTGATAGACACTTTTTAGTTTATATTTATGTATTTAAAGTTTTATTTTTATCTTTTGTTTAAGAAATATTGTATAAAAACAAAGTGATTTGTCGATATCGGCAATCTTCCCCTACTAATACATGTATATGTTTTCATACATATACCGATTATTGCGAAGAATATTACTAAAGCCTCAGTAGTCTAAAGGCTTAGGACGCTCGTATGGAATAGAAGAGATCCGGGTTCGACTCCTGGTCGAGGTAATATTTTTCGTAATATTTATTTACAGTTTTTCAGCACATTAACATCTTTCTAATATGATGCCTGATTGAACATCGAATTATTAAAAATTGCTTGTCAATTTAATTTGTGATATTATTACAATAATTTAATTGAATTTATAAATCCGGAAAATCAATTCGGCATGCAGTTCGAATGACTAAATGGTGTATGTATATACATAGTGTATAAAAGGTGTCCCGAAAGTTTTTGCCAATCGCTTTTGTGAAAATAGAACGGACTAAACTGAGTCGAAAAGTCCTTTACCATTTTGCAATTTTCGCAATAGTTAACAAGATATTAATTACTAAAAATTGCCAAATATTGGTCTTGAATAATTTTTTACTCAAATATTATAACTTTACAGAAAAACTGCAAGAGACAAAAATCATTTATTTTCTTCTCATAGAATTCTAAGAATTTTTTCAGAATTTTTTATCAATTTTTTAGTACTACATTTTCTTATTTTTACCAATATGAGAAGATACGATATTAAAAAATTCTGAAAAAATTCTCAGAACTTTATGAAAAGAAAATACATGATTTTGTCTCTTGCAGCTTTTCTATAAAGTTGATAATATTTGAGTAAAAAATTATAAGACCAATATTTGATAATTTTTAGTAATTAATATCTTGTTAACTATTGCGAAAATTGCAAAATGGTACAGGACTTTTTGATTCAGTTTAGTCCGCTCTATCTACACAAAAGCGATTGGCAAAAACTTTCGAGACACCTTGTACATATATAATTCACATTGAAGCATTAAAGATTCAGCGACAATTATAGGCATTTAATTTATGATTTATCGATTGTGTTCTCACGTATGGTCTAAAATAAAATTCTTGCGTATGTTTTAATTCTGAGAAAGAAATTCCAAAATCTGTAAAAGAAATATATATGAAAATGCGTTACAAAAATTAGTGTTTAGTTGGTAAAACGGATGCCTTTAAGATCTCCTTAAACTATTTAACTTCTTATTTTTGGTCGCTTTATTTTTATATAGTTATAATAAGTGTTAGTACATTCATAATCATTCATATTTATTTCTTTTTGTACTATTTTAAAGCAAAAAGTTAGCAAAGAATTCTGGTATATCAGTTTTGTTCACAATATTTTATACACGTTTTTTTGAAAGAGAGAGCGCTAGCGCAAGTTCCCAAATTGTCAGGTCAGCCATGATCACATATTGCAAATCGTGTATTATATACTATCTTGTCAAAACTTCAGCAGCAGTCAAACATGGTCTCAGTCAATGTTGGCAAAAATACAATAGAAAGCAAACAATTTCCTGATATGCTACAAAAATGTTATAAAAATTAAGAAATTCTAAAAATAATAATTTTGTGTTGGCACAATATGTCAACAGAAATTAAATCCAAACATAATATGATTTTATACTATACTGGCAAATATCGTTAGAAATTGAACTTATTTACTTGCATGATAAAATGACAAAAACACGGTAGAAATCGAGCATGCGTTGTCTAAAAAAAATAACAATAAAAAAATACAATAAAATTACAGCATGTTGTCATTAAATTATGACAAAAATACCATGTATTATGTTAGATATGTCATCAATATCGAACTATAGTTTTTTCGTTTATTGCTATACGACGTATCTTTCTTGTATTCAAACTTCTTCAGGTAAATTTAAAGACTACAAAATGTAGCTAATGAAAATAAAGTGTGTAGTATTTGTTTCTATCAGCTTATTTTCTGACACAATTCCAATATAGGATTTAGAAAATATTAAATTGATTATTGAAAACTCTGATAACAATTCTTTCTATGGAGAATTGTTTACTTGGTCTCAAAATAAAAGTTCAATTTCTATTTCATAAATTTTGTTTGTAAATTTTACAGATTATTAAACAAATTAATTACGGAAATGCAATATTCTAATTTGTTAAAAAGTATTCTGCTTCATTTTTGTGTATTTATGCTATTATATAATAAATTATCGTATGATTTCTGCTGTGTTACAAGTTGCTATATTGCAACTTGTTCTGCTACTGATAGCTGATAGGCTATGTTCTGTCTCGAGAAACCTTGATATCTTCACAATTATTTGTTTTGTTAATTAGTATCACATGTTTTTCAAAATATAAAAATATACAATTTCAATTTTCATGTTGAAAAAAAAAACAGAATCTTCGAGTACTGCACCAGAGGTACCAGAGCACTCAGAAATTGATGTTGTTGATGAAGATCGCGGTGCTTCGTCGGATGTTTCTGATAACTCTTTAGTCGAATGTAATACAGTATTGGGAAAACAGCCTCCATTTTGGATTCCAGATAGTGATGCACCTAGCTGTATGTTGTGTGATGTTAAATTTACTGTACTTAAAAGACGTCATCATTGTCGTGCTTGCGGTAAAGTACGTATTTATTGAATTACAAAATAAAGACAAATCAGTTATTTATTGATTGATGTATTACGCAATACAACAACAATCGTTTATTTTATAAATTAATTTTTTCAAATTTGTAATATTATATTTCTTTTTTTGTAACAATATTTAAATTTACAATACATTTTGCAGGTACTATGTAACAAATGTTGCAATATGAAATACAGATTAGAATACCAGGGAAATATTGATTCCCGCGTTTGTGTCTCATGTTTTCATCTACTTACAAAAGGTAAAGAGAATTAATCTTATTATATATACACACAGGATATTTCAATTACCTAAAAAATATGGTTTTCTTAAATTAAAACGGAGCAATCCTTTTAAATTTAAATAATGTACTATTTTTTAGTTATTCAATTTTTTAATAATTGAAAAATATAAAAATATGATTTTTTTTTCAAAAAAACTAATTTTTCTCTTTACATTTCTATACAAAAATATTTAATAATATTTATAATATTTATAATATTGATAATACATGAAGTATCTTCAAAATGATTTTTTAATGACATATCTTTATATGCAGAATATTGAAAGAAATATAATCACAGTATATAAGAAAATTTATCAATTTAGTCAATAAGAATTATATTGTATAATAGTTTTACAATAGTCAGAGTAAATTTCGGTTTTTATTTAACATGTTGAAAGAATTGAATAAGAAAGAAGCGTTACCTAAATATATTACACATCAAAATTAGAGGATTATTCTAAAATATACAAATTTTGCCGATTTTTAGGAGACTATCTCAGCTTCTCCAGGAATTGCAGGACAATTTTTCAGGGTTTTGAAGGGTGTAACCTCAACTTTAAAACAATTAAAATGATATTTTTTGCCTCATTTAATGAACGAATAATAATCTTATTTGTGAAGATCAGAAGCAGTATTAAAATTCTGAAAATATCAATATACAATTTTCAGCTTTCCATGTGCAAAAGGACGAGGCGAGAAATGTCACCACATAAGTTTTAAAGTGGAGAACTTTTGTTTTAAAATAACATCACGATCATGCATCACTCTAACGTGCTTATGTTTCAAAATGAATCCTACATTTTGCAAGATTTTGGATAATTACAGCCGACATTCGCGTTATCCGATGTGCACTACTAAGAGATTGTTTGATTAAAGTTTGCATACCACATGTTTGGAGTGTATGCGTGCATGCGTGCGTGCGTGCGGGCGGGCGGGCGGGCGAACGCACCATATATATTTATATTCATGCATAAAAATTTTTTTAATACTGAATTCGTAGCAGCAATAATCAGCAGTAAGTATTAATATCGTAAATTTTAATTGTAATTTTGAAGTTCCTTAAAAAACAGCAATGTAATATTCGTCCCATACGCCCATTAGAATTGTTTTCTATCTAATCTGTTTACAACCTCATACATAAGCAGCATGGGTTGTTTTCTCTATGCGCATGGGAAAAGGAAACCGAGTTAATGCGCGCAATGAGTTCTATACATTGAAGTGATACAGAGTCTACAATAGAAGTCGCAGTGGTCGTAGAATCGTAGAAAATTGATCAATCATAATCGATTATTCTTCTCATATTCGAGTATGATTGGTTAATTTTCTATGATTTAAGATCTAACGACCGATTTCTATTATACGATTTCTATTATAGACCCTCTATGAGCCTTCTTTACACTAATGATGATGAGAAAGCGACCGACTGTGCGAGAGTGACAGCCATGCGTATATCTCTATCTCACTTTAGTACTATGTATTACCATCGTTAAAAATATCAACCTTAATTGTATGGGTTGCGGGATATTATGAGATATGTCTGTGTTTGCGATATTTAAAAAAAATTAAAATGATAAATTATTGCTTTGTTAACTAAAAAGTATTTGTGTATGTGTGCTTAAAAGGTAATATTACTTTTTATAGATAAATACAATTAAATTTAATTTAATTTAAAATATGTTCGTATACTGCAATATACGAGTATTATACTTATATTATCTCAGATAAAGAAGTCTGTACAGATAAGAGTAACAGAGTATCTATGCTATCATTGCTACTGATGATAGCAACAAAGAAATAATTTATTTTTTTATTTTTATTTTTCATTTTTATTTTTTTGAATATTATTAAAGAGTAACTCTAGTATATCGTAATCTATACATAGACATTTTAAATTAATTTTGATTATATTTACTTATGAAAAGTAATATTGCCTTTTACCCAAATACTTTTGTAGTTATTAACAAAGCAATAATTTTCCATTTTAATTTTTTTTAAGTATCACAAACATATCAATATATAGCAGGCACAATTGGAGTTGATGTTTTTAACAATGGTAATACTAATAAAGTGAGGCAATAGTCAAACATGCACAGCTGTTACTCTCGCACAGTCAGTCGCCTTCCACCATCGTTAGCATAGAGAAGGCTCACTCCAGTGTATAGAGCTTATGGCCGTAGCAAACTTTTGCATACAACTCATAATGTATAACACATAGTGTATAAGAAAATCAACCAAAGTTCCTCTTTTCCATGTAATGGAAGAAAAGGAAAAATTCTAATTGGCTGATTCTCTTGTGCACTATACGTTATGCAAAAGTCTGTGCTGCGGCCATTGAATATGTGCGCATAGACCAAGAGGTCACTGTAGTAATTTTGTTACCAATAGATGCAAGTATGGGAAATGGATAATCTTTTATTTTATGTAAAACATAAAAACTATATATATATATTTAAGCTTAATCGCGGTTGCTTGAAGAGGAGATGGACTTTTCAAAATGTGCAGACTGAGCATTTTTATTAAAAGCGTCAAGGTTGATTGTTGTTGCAATGGAATAGTTAATACTCTTGTTTCAAGGCGGAAGAAACTCCTATACCCTTCAGAAGGGTGCAAGAGGTCGCCATACTGGGTCAAATTGGTAAATTTTTTCTGAAAAAAAATCGATGGCGATAAGATCGAACACATACAATTTTCTTACTTTATGTAAAACTGTATTTGTTTGGGTAGCTATGGCTGTGACTATCCAAAAGGAAATCATATTTCTCGACAATTAACATTAAAATTAAGTAGTAGGCAAAAATTCAATTTGTCACTATCGATTTTTTTTTAGAAAAAATTTACCACTTCGACCCAGTATGGCGACTTCTTGCACCTTTCTGGGCTGCATTCAGATTGCTTACTGGGTGAGTGATTGACTGAGTGAGTGGGCGGAGCCTCGGAGAAGTACCGAGCGGTTTGGGAATTGAAAAGCACTCTAAGATAAGAGAGTGTCCTATAAGCATCGGTTACAGCAAATATTATAGTAACGTAAATTTATCAGATTTAATATAAATTATATATAATTATATATAAATAAAATACACACTCAAGTCAAAGAAAAAGCGTATAAATTGGAAAAATTTACGAAATTTCAAATGCTCATAACTCAGTAAATAATTATGATACAGAGGTGTTAAAAAAATGAAAATGAAGCTTGAAATCCGTAATACAGATTTCAAGCTTCATTCGTTTTTTTAATAACTTTGTATCATAATTATTTACTGAGTTATGAAGTTTCATAAATTTTCCTGCTGTACCACTTTTTCTTTGACTAAGTGTATATATTTATAAATTTACTAATGCCTCGCAAATTACAAACATAAAATATAAAAAGCAATCAGAATGTTTGTTGCGAATGTCATATATTTAAAATTCTTACGTTAAAGATACAAATTATAGACGTTTCGATCTATATCAGGCATCATCTTCAGTATACAATATAAATAATATAAAAATAGTTTGCAGTCATTAAGATTAAAAGAGTTGAAATAAATAAAAGATCATGATTCTTAGCCATAAGCTTAAAATAAATTAACAATAAATTCTAGTTCAATTACACTTGTGTATGTTGTCGAAAAATTCTTGCTTCTATTCGTCTTAATGAGACTTTTATATTGAAACGTAAGAAACGCCAGATTTTCATATTCTAAGAGTAAAGAATCCAAATTTTAAAACAGCAAAAACCGTTTCCTTTTTTATGTATCTATATTTTATGGATGTATCTGTGTTTGTTACAACGATCCTTAAATTATTCTCCATCAATATTAAGATTGTCCTTCTCCATGTGAGACAAACGATTACATGAGACAGAATTACTTTTATTTGTAAAAATAATGTTTTATCTGTGGATGACTTTCAGTGTATTAGAATATATACTCATCGTAGAGTGAGGAAGGGAGCTTAATGGAGGGGGTTAAAATTATTTTAGTTGAGAGGAGAGTATTAAATCATCGGTAAATATATAGGAAAAACAGTCCGTGTCACTTTATTTATTTAATCCTAATTTTTTTAATATGTAACATCTCGGAAATCATTCTTTTATAGAAAGTTCTGAGAGAATTCTGAGAAAGTTCTAAAATATTAATGTTGTTTCGGTCTAGATCATGTTCGTTATCTAACTGATGAGACACGACTGATAGAGCATTGTTTGATTTTTTTGTGTCTACCTTATTATATTCTTTTATCCGCGTGTTCAATTTTCTTTTTGCTCGACATACGAGACTTCGCAGTTTAAGCAATTGATTTTATATGCTACTTCGGCGTGCTCTTCTTTTTTTAATCGGTCTTTTCTTGTGTTATGTCTTGGCCTCCGTAGAGATATAATCTTATTCTCTTCTTTTTTCCTCTCGTTTCGCGCTGAATTATTTCTTTTATTTTATTGCTATTTAATCTCACATCGTCTATCTAAAGTATTTCGATTAATTAATTGCAGATATTCCTAGCAAGAAACTTATCAGGCGCAGTATGATTCTGTCATGCCGACATCGCGTGACACGTGTCGTGCGAACCAATCAAAACACCCGTGAGGCGCATGCCAATGTATCGCGATGAATTCCATGTGGAGTTAAGAAACGTTTCCATATGTTGGGATTGTCATGTCATTATCATCCTACACAAGATTTAAGAAAACTAATCCGATTGAAACACCTCAACGTCTATAATCTCTCAGAATAAGAAAAAGCCATCGCGCACCAATCACCGCCCGCGCGTGTCGCTTTTCACTCCGAATCTTTAATGGGATTTCTGACGCTTCGCCTGAGAATATTGTTAATTTTGAAGTTTTTAGCATTATGTTTAGCATTATGTTTGTATATTTTTGGTTTGCTTCACTATTTTTTGGTTATCGTGACTGCTTTAATTAGCTTGAAACAGATAAGTAAACGCGAATTTGTTGTTAGCGAGCGCTGACCAATCGAGAGTCGGGGAAAGAGCAGCGAGGA